GCTGTAAATAACATTGATTTGATTTGATTTTAGACAAAAGTTTACCTTTTACTCGTCTGTTCTTCAGGTATACATGTAAGTCCACGGAGGGATCTCAGCACTGCATGAAAACACGAGGAGCAAAGATTATTAACAAATCTCTTAACCAGCAACCAGTACCAAAAGGTCTTTCATGGTCTAGATCTGAATTCCCCATGGACTTTAAATACCTGCTGGGCTCATCAGGTGGATCTGCTACAAGTGTGTGGCTCTGGCTCCACCCCACCATACGATCACACACCAGGATCACCACTGGGTTGAAGAAACAGAGTTTAATTTTGACTGGATTAAAGAGACAGCAGCTAGTTTGAGTTAAATTCATCCTAACCCTCCTGCTGCCCTCGGGTCAAAACAACCCTCGAGGCCTCAGTTTTCTAGCTCAGTTTGACCCTCGGGCAGCGGGACACTTAAAATGACACCATGTCTCTCATAGCTCATAGTGCTTCATGTGAATGCTGTTATAGAAACCTTTACACTGCTGCCATTTTTGCTTTGCACAGACATTTAGTTTACAGTTACTTATGAGTGGGAAAAGTAGCAGCTAGCTGTAGCACTTCTGGTGCAGTCTGGAGCTCTTATATTCTGCTACAATAACCCTGTAATACATAAAGGTTTATAAACTACCATTCACATAAACTGCTATTAAAGTATTTACATGGGTGTTAACAATTAGCTTTCAATCAGAAATAAACATTATTTTGCCAGATGAGCTTGTTCAAAGAGGGATCCACAACAGGTAAGACAGTTACAGTTTATAGCCGGCCCACAGAAACCCACTTTACAAGATCTAAACTATCTTGTTTACCACAAACCTTTAATACAATGATCTCTAGAATCAGGAAAAAAGTATTCTTCATTGTCAAAATGCATGTGAATAAGAGTTAATATTAACAAATAATTAAAAATCCACATCTGCTGACTTTAATGCTAAAGGTCATTATGTAATTAAAGGCATTTTTGGTCAAACTCTGAATGCAACATTTCATTAGATGTCACCTTCAAATGACTCTCAGCTACTACTACTTTAGATATTAGCTCAAAATCTGTAACTATGACTTAGTTATTGCCATTTAGTTTTGGCTAAGCTCTGTAAAACATGGCAGCCATCTTGAAATGGACTGACTCCAACATTTCATTCAGATGTTAGATATTTTACTAACAGAATGAGTGTTGACGCCGACAGGGAACACCAAAGTTTTAATAAACAATCTTGTGTAAATAATAGAGCTCAGAGTATGTGTTGTGAATTACTCTCAACTACGTTCACACCAATTTTTCGCACTGCAGATGTAAAATTGATGAAGTTATAAATATTTTTCTGTTTCGTAAAGTTAGTTGACTGCAGCGGCCATCTTGAATTGGGTTGGTGTCAAAAGTTAATCAGCTGAAGAAGCGCATCCAGTAATTACTTCCTGAAAGTTTCGTCAAAATCGACATAGTAGTTCATGAGATATTTTGCTAACAGACAAAAACAGAATGTTTTAAAGCTCTGACATACACAAGAGTCAGCCAAATTCAAATAAAAATATAACAATTTACACCCAGAATACCAAAATATCTGATTCTCCTTCATCAGATGCAGCAGATTCCCACATTCTGAGAGCCATTACCCTGATACGCAACAGTAGCAGCAAAAAAAAAACAAAGACAGCATGAGAGATAATCAGTCTTAAGTCCTGATCTAAACTACACCCGGTCTGTCCAATGCCTGCTGGCTCCGGGGATTGTGTTGGAGTTTTAATCCATTTAAAAGCAGAGGACCTCTGCTGCTGTTTCCAAGGGGCCTGACCCCGGTGCTGAATGTGCACACATGCACAAAAACAATGCCGTGCACAAATCCAACCCCTCCTCATAAACAGTGCTGTTTTTTTTTTTTTATGCATCGAAGTAAACATGTACAGATATAAGAAGATGGGTTTAAGGTGGAAAATGATTTGTTGGTCATGAAATTAGTAAAACATGAAAAGTGGAGACAAACTGAAAACAACAGATTAATAGAAGTCATTTGTCCAACTGCACTCGAACGTGTCATGTATGAGTTATTTTATTTTAAGAACGACTAGAATTTTTTTTAAAGTACGTTAGAAATAAACACAGTGTTGTTCATATTAATGTGGATAAAAATAGTTTATTTTCCTCCTTAAGGACAATTAAAAGTTGCCCCCCTCAAGTTTAAATGTTTTATGTGATATTGTCTTACTTTTTTTCTCTCTACTTGCTCCGCTGTTTGTCGTTATCTAATTTGAAATGTACTAATTCCTTATTCTTGCGGAGGGAGGGCGAACCGCTGACTTGAACAGCTGCTTCATGACCCAAAAAACTGTCAGTCTTTCCCTGGAATAAATTGTGGAATATACCATCTGTGGGTACAGAGGAGGGGTGGGAAACGGAGACGTGCGCGCTCAGGAAAGCGCGTGCAGTTTGAAAGCGAGTCCATTTCGGCGCTAGATCGAATTTTAAGCCGAATATAAACTCGATGTYGGGTAAAGTAGCTCGTTTAGGGTGAAGAGAGGCGAGGAACAGAGGCGGGTGTAAAACAGAGRTCCCCCGCGCTCCGGCGCCATGTTTCTAGAGGACCCATAGTAGAATCAATTCAGCGCGAGGGGAGCTTGAAACCGACCCGCTCGCGCTTCCCTCCGAGTCTGAGAGAAACACAGTTGAAGGCATAGAGCAGTCGGCAGCACTACATGCTCACAACAGGCAGGCTCCCTTCCACTAACGAACTACAAACTCTCAATATTGCCCAGATTTTTATCTASCAAACTGAAAGGGAAGACTTTAACAAGCTAGCTGGCTCTTTAGGGCTGATTTGGAAACTTTACACCGATTTTAGAGGATGTTTGAAACTTATCAGGTCACTGAATGACTGCATGGTACACACAAATAAAGGTGCAGTCATCATATAGCTCGTTTTTTATATATATTTTTAAATCTCCCCCACTGTAATTTATTCACTTCATTCATGGATTAACATTACCCTTCACAAGTCAAAGCTAGATATTAAAGGGATAGTTCAGGCATTTTGAAGTGTGGTTCATTTTGAACACAGGGCTCTTTCACAAATCACATCAGTCTGACTAAAGCTGTGTCCAAAACGACYGGCCGGGTCCTCCGGAGGACCCAGACTCCCCGGTCTCGGCGGGCCGGGTCCTTGGTAGACCGGGAAGACCGGAAAAAAAGAGGCTGTGAATTTGGACGGTCTTGCCTCCCCTCCTTACCCCGGCGTACGTCATGTCACCTTGCAACTGTGACGACGCTAAACAAGCCAACTTAAATCAAAACTAGAAAAGTATCAATACATTAGCATTATTAATATCACAAAACTATAAAATTAACTTAAAATTATCATTTGAAGAACTAATTGACCCGCTGTAGGTGCATGTTTATTTCGCGTTTTTATGACGAAAAAATAATATTTAAAAACCTGTCCATACAAATGATAAAAGTATTAGAATTACAACCGCTAATTTTTTAAAATTTTTATATCACCATATTTTTATTTAAAA